TTCGTGGCCCCATAGGGAGCTCCACCGAAGGCCCCATGGCTGCCGTCCGCATGCGTCCCGCACACCCATTTCGGCACACCCTCACACGTTTCGTGGCCCCACAGGGAGCTCCACCGAAGGCCCCAGTGCTGCCGCCGCATGCGTCCCGCACACCCAATTCGGCACACCCCTCACACGTTTGTGGCCCCATAGGGAGCCCCCGGAAGGCCCCAGTGCTGCCGCCCGCATGCGCTCCCGCACACCAATTCGGCACACCCATCAACGCTATTCGTGGCCCCATAGCGGGCCCACCGAAGGCCCAGTGCTGCCGCCCGCAGATGCGTCCCGCACACCCAATTCGGCACCACCAGTCACAGTTTCGTGAGCCCCATAAGGAGCCCCTACGAAGGACCAGGGCTGCCGCCCCACATGCGTCCCGCGCACACCCAATTCCGGCCACACCCCTCCACACGTTTCGTGGGACCCCCATAGGGAGCACCACGACTGGTAACAGCCGCAGCCCGCATGCGTCCCGCACACCGAATTCGGCACACCCCTCACACGTTTCGTGGCCCCATAGGGAGCCCCACCGAAGGCCCCAGTGCTGCCGCCCGCATGCGTCCCGCACACCGAATTCGGCACACCCCTCACACGCTTCGTGGCCCCATAGAGAGCCCCACCGAAGGCCCCAATGCTGCTGCCCGCATGCGTCCCGCACACCGAATTCGGCACACCCCTCACACGTTTCGTGGCCCCATAGGGAGCTCCACCGAAGGCCCCAGTGCTGCCGCCCGCATGCGTCCCGCACACCCAATTCGGCACACCCCTCACACGTTTCGTGGCCCCATAGGGAGCTCCACCGAAGGCCCCAGTGCTGCCGTCCGCATGCGTCCCGCACACACCCATTTCGGCACACCCCTCACACGTTTCGTGGCCCCATAGGGAGCCCCACCGAAGGCCCCAGTGCTGCCGCCCGCATGCGTCCCGCACACCCAATTCGGCACACCCCTCACACGTTTCGTGGCCCCACCGAAGGCCCCAGCGGCGGCGCTCGCATGCGCATGCGTCCCGCACGCCCATTTCGGCGCATCCCTCACAGGTTTCGTGGCCCCATCATCCACCGGGGCCCCAGTGGCGGCGCTCACATGCGTCACCCACACCCACCTAATTCGGCACACCCCTCACACGCTTCGTGGCCCCATAGGGAGCTCCACCGAAGGCCCCAGCGGCCGCGCTCACATGCGTCCCCGCCACCCATCCCGGCACGCCCCTCACAACAACAGGTTTCGCGGCCCCAGAGGGAGCTCCACCGAAGGCCCCTGTGGCACCGCCCGCATGCGTCACCACCCGCACCCAATTCGGCACACCCCTCACACGTTTCGTAGCCCAACAGGGAGCTCCACCGAAGGCCCCAGTGGCGGCGCTCACATGCGTCCCCGCGACACATCCCAGTACACCCCTCACGCGCTTCATGGCCCCATAGGGAGCTCCACCGAAGGCCCCAGTAGCGGCGCTTACATGCGTCTCTGCCACCCATCCCGGCCCCCCCCCGCAGCAGCATCATGTTTCGGGGACCCATAGGGAGCTCCACTGGAGGCCCCAGTGGCGGCCATCACATGCGTCCCCGCCACCCATCCCGGCACGCCCCTCACAACAACAGGTTTCGTGGCCCCATAGGGAGCTCCACCGAAGGCCCCTGTGGCACCGCCCGCATGCGTCACCACCCGCACCCAATTCGGCACACCCCTCACACCTTTCGTGGCCCCATAGGGCTCCACCGAAGGCCCCAGTGGCGGCGCTTACATGCGTCTCTGCCACCCATCCCGGCACCCCCCCCGCAGCAGCATCATGTTTCGGGGACCCATAGGGATCTCCACTGGAGGCCCCAGTGGCGGCCCTCACATGCGTTTCCGCCACCCATATCGGCACGCCCCGCGCGTGTTTCATGTCCCCATCGGGAGCTTCACCGAATGCTCCAGTGGCACCCATCTCGGAATTCTCCTCACACGCTCCGTGGTCCTATGGGGAGTTCCACTGAAGATGAAACCCGCATGTCGCGAATCTGATTGCGCGAGGAGTCGCACAATCGAAATCGTGACCAACGAGCGCCCCCCCCCCCCCCACCCTCTCACAACGGCGCTCCGCCCTTCCGCCCGAAGCCCCAGGCGCATCCTTGGCCATGCGCCTCCGACGCACGAGAGAACAGGAAGTCCAAGCGGAAACGATTCAGACAGAGCCCCACCTTCCAAAGGAAGAAAGCGAATGACGAACCCCAAAAACGAAAAAGGAAGAGCAAACCGAAAATTGTGAAATCGCAGGGGGGGAATCGCCCTCGAACCCCAACCGGCAACCAGCACGGATGGGGGGCCAAGTGTCGGAGGTGCGACCATCGGTTCCATTGGGTTCCCAGGAATCAGGACCAGCTTCCAGCAGAGCGCACCGAGTCCGCCGCAGAGGCATGTCGAGCGGCAGAGGCGGCGACGCGGACAGTGGAGACGCCCCAGGACAATCCGACGTTCGTGGAGGGAGCTGCGGCACTCAATGCGGCCAATGGGCTGAACGCCATGCTCCGAGCTCTGCAGTGGCAGCTGCAGGATCTTCCCGAGGGGATCAAGGCGATGAAGGGCATCCAGACCGTGGTAGACAGGATGCTCGAGTTTGCCTCGCTACACCAGCCGATGGGCTCGAATCAAGCCGAGGAGGGACTCCAGCAGATGTCCCCAGGGATCGCCCACATCCGAGGGGCCTTCTGAACGTTCGAGGTCTTCGGAGACACCATGGACTCAATCCAGGAGAGTATCGAGGGCATCCAGACTCAGGTGGGCAACACCAACATGGCGCACCACCAGCTCGTGCATATGACCATCCAGATCGGCGCGGCCGTCCAGGTTATCGCCCACTACATGAACATGAACTTGCCGATCCAGGGGGCGGCGAGCAGCTCAGGAGGTGCCAGCGGGAGCGGTCGACCTCCCCCTCCTCGTCCGGGACCTCCACAGGTCCAGCAGGTCGAGAGCAGCGTGAGCGACGGAAGCGAGGAGGCTGCTGCGACTACGACCCTCGACACTGGGAGTACCACCTTGCCGACGACCACTCCGATGGCAAGGATGACCATCGAGGGCCAGGGCGAGACGGAACAGGTGCTACCAGACCCTACCGGGTCCGGCTTGTGGGGGCTGATCTGAGTCAGCCAGCGCCGCCAGCGCCAGAACCGACGTCACAGGACGTCAGAGACACTTCTGTGCTGAGCCTGTCGGCCAGCCTCTCACAGGGCGCCTGTCGAGTTGCCCGAGATGAAACATGTAAGATTTGTCATCCTACGGTTGGGCCGTCATCGTGCTACCCCATTGGTTTCCCGAGATCCCAAGCTGTTTCGCGCGGAGCGGCCCAAGGGCCTTCGCCAGGCCCCAGAGCTCAGGGAGCGGTTCCGAACTCGTTGATTCCCGAAGGTTTCAGAGTGCTCTGGAATGACGGGGACTGCGCGAATGACGATCACGAGGTGGCCTGGACTAGTGCCGTGCGGAACGCTCTCGAGAGGAGTGCTGCCGAGGGGTCGGCGCGCGGTGGGGACTGGCTCAGGCGGGGGCCAAGCGGGCGATCAGGGCACCCAGCAGAGGCCGCGCGGCATTTATGGAAGTCTTTTCTCCTCCCAGGATCGCTCCAGCAATGTGCGAGCAAGGGGGCCTCTTTGGAGAAAAACCCAGTCTGGACAGGTTGACTGGGTGGGACTCTGCCAGACCCTTCTCACGTTAAGCAACTCTGGGAGCAGATCGATCGGGACCAGCCCAACACGGTGTGGATGTCGTCCGAGTGCCGTGCTTTCTCGGCCATCAATCGCACCAATCGAGATCGGAGAAGTCCCGATCGGTGGCGTCAGGAGGTTCGGCGGGATGGGTTTCACGATCTCATCCTGCGCATGAAGGTGGCACTGCACCAGCAAGCTAAGGGGCGGTACTTCGCCTTCGAGCACCTCCTTTATGCTTGCTCATGGGACGCGCGCGTTGTCCAGTATGTCTCAAGCCTTCCGGTGGTCGCTAGGGTGAGAGTGGGCATGTGTCGTTTTGGGCTTCAAGGGGACCCTAGGGGTCTGAATAAGAAGCCAACCGGGATCCTGACGAACCCCCCCCCACCTCCAGAGGCTTTTCGGAGGCCACCTCTGCCTGGGGGATCTCAGGCACGCGGTGCTAGAAGGTGGGCATCAGACGTCCAAGGCAGCCCGGTATACTTCCTGGTTCGCCAGGCTGGTGGCCAGAGCTGCGACCGAACAGTAGAGCGGGGCTTCCGAGAGTTGTCGCCCCACATGGGTTGAGCTAGAAGAAAGGTTCTTTCCGGCAGCGGCGGCGGAAGTTGGCGGCCATTTGGAGCCGCGGAAGTCCACGAAGGAAGTGAAGCGGACAGCGGAGACGAGCCCGAGACCCGAGGACCACCTGTTTCCCGGACCGTCCCCAGCGAAGAAATTGAACCGTCGGAAGAAGTTAAGAGACTCCTCTACAAGGTGCGCGTTAACATGGGACACCCCGAGGTCCGGAAGTTCTGCCGGGTCCTACGGGCCGGGGGAGTCAAGCCGCATCTGATCAAGTGGGTGAGAGAGGGCTTCCGTTGCTCCGAGTGTGCCGAGAATCACAGGGCGGGCAACCACCGTCGGTCCAGTTGCCCTTCCCCGTACCTTTCGCTTCAATCATATCGTGGGCATCGGTTTGTTTTACTTTGACTTCCAAGGCGTTTCGCATCCGTTCATCAATCTCGTCGACCACGGGTCGAATCTCCAAGTGTGCTGTAGGGTGCCTAACGTTCGAGCTGCCACAGTGTGGGCGGGCTTTGTCCAGTGTTGGCTGAGACCGCTAGGAGCTCCTCACTTTATGATCTCAGACGGCGGGCCCGAATTTGGAGGACGCTTTGCGCGTGGGCTCGAACAGTGGGGGTTGAAGCACCACGTGTGCGATGCCGACTCCCCGTGCCAGAATGGCAAGGTTGAGTGCCAAGGGGGGTGGATCAAAGACAGAGTCAAAGTTGACATCGATGTTGGCGCCCATCCCCCCGGAGACTTTGAGGAGTTAGATGCCCTTGTCCACGAGTTGACGGCCCATGAGAACCGATGCTGGCGCCGTGGAGGATTCTCCCTTCTCCAGCTCGCTTTCGGCGAGAATCCGAGACTTCTTCGCGATCTACTGAGTGGCGATTCGCACGGTCTCCCCGGCTGGGAGGACCCCCTTCGATCCCCGGCCGAGCAAGACGCCGCCGGGGCTGAGTTTGCTAGAGCGCAAGAGTTCCGAGCCTCGGCCAGGAGCGTAGCCATGCAAGCCATGGCTCGCGAGAAGATCAGCCGCGCCTCGAGAGCCAAGGCTCCTGCTCCTCGCGACTTCGTGCCTGGGCAGTGGGCGTGCGTTTGGAGGCGTATGACCCGGTCATCCTCCCGGGCCGACGCTTTGAGCAGACGCCGTGACGGGTGGTGCGGCCCTGGGGCCGTCGTCCTGTCTCAGGGGGTGCGGTTTGGGTGGCTGTCCGACCCCGCTCGTGGAAGCGTTCGGCCGAACAGTTGAGGTTAGCCAGTGCTGATGAGGAGCTAGGAGTCCAGCTGTCTCAGAGTCCCCAGTGGCGCGAGCTGCTCAGACACTCGAGCACCAGGAGGGCTATTGCCGTTGATGTTCAGAGAGAAGGGCCTCCTCCCGAGGACGCTTGGGGCGCCCAGGTGCAGCGCGAGATGGGCTCAGCCCCCCAGGTGCTGGGTCAACCGGTCCCGGGCCCCATTGGCGCCAGGATCCCCTGGCCCCCCCGTGCCTCTCCTGGTCGCGTCGGGACAGGCTCCCGTCATGGGTCTCAGAGGGTCGGGGAGGGCGCCCAGGCCTGAGTCGACAACGGAGTCTGTCGAAGTCCAGGCCGGCTCAGAGCAGACTCGAGCTCCCTCCGAGGACGCGTCCAGGCAGACGTCAGAGCATCCCCCGTCTGTCTCTCCTTTCAAGGAGGAGGAGGGTCCCTAGGCCAGACCCAGCGAGCAGGTGCCTACCACTCCTTCTCCTGCTCTTCTCTCTCCTCCTCCGCCTCCTGTTTCCTCCGGTCCTTCTCTCCCTCTGCCTCCTACCTCCGGTATTGTTCCTTCTGTTCCCATCGATCTTCCTCTCTCTGGGAGTGGAGGCAGGGCGTCAAGTGCACCCCCTCAGTCGGGGGCGAGGCTCCGACAACCAGACGACGCGCCTGCCTGCATTCGGAGGGCTCGGTCATTGCAGCCCCCGGAGCACAAGCGACAGAGGGTTGAGTTTCTTCCTGGCCTTTGTCCACCGGTGCCCAACCCCTCCCCTTTTCGCTCCTCGACCCTCCTTTCCCGCAGGCCCCGAGGCCTCGGCCAGAAGCGGAGGGGAGAAACCGGGCAGGCAGGTCACCGCCAGCAGGCTGGAGCTCCGGAGGCCCGTCGGCCAGATGGCGCGGGACCTGGAGGCGCCGGCCAGTGCCTGGCCCCCAGTTCGAGGCAGGAGCCGCTCCCCGACGGGAGAGGCCACCGATTCCCTCATCCTCCCCGGCGGCGCCGGTGGTGGCGCCCAGGCCAGGCCGATGTTTTTTTTTTGTTTTTCTCTCTCTCTCTCTCTCTCTCTCTCTCTCTCTCTCTCTCTCTCTCTCTCTCTCTCTCTCTCTCTCTCTCTCTCTCTCTCTCTCTCTCTCCTCTCTCTCTCTCTCTCTCTCTCTCCTCTCTCTCTCTCTCTCTCTCTCTCTCTCTCTCTCTCTCTCTCTCTCTCTCTCTCTCTCTCTCTCTCTCTCTCTCTCTCTCTCTCTCTCTCTCTCTCTCTCTCTCTCTCTCTCTCTCTCTCTCTCTCTCTCTCTCTCTCTCTCTCTCTCTCTCTCTCTCTCTCTCTCTCTCTCTCTCTCTCTCTCTCTCTCTCTCTCTCTCTAGTCTCGGCTCGAGAGTGCCCAGCACTCAGACCGCAGCCGCGACGCGAAGCGCCCCGCCTCGGAGTCAGACTCCCAGGCCTCGCGAGACCGGAGGGGTCCCAGCAGGACCCTACTGATTCGCGTCACCTCCCCCCCCCCACCAGAGCGCCCGCAGCAATGGCCCCCAGTAAGCCAGAGCGCCGTCGCTCTTCCAAGCAGCCCCTGAGTTCACGTCCTGCTGCTGAAGGGTCTCTCCTCCAACGCAAGCAGGACTGCATCGCAGCGTTCAAGCAAGCGGGGTCTGATCGCCCCACGGCCGCATACAACGGGCTTGCCGAGCTGAACGCGGACGAGCTCCAGGCAACGTACGACATGCACAAGACCAACACGAAGAAGCTGGGCAGTGCCTTGATCCGCATGTGCGCCGCCAACCAGATCAGCTACACGCTTGATCACCACCAGCGCAGCAAGCCTAAGCGCATTGGCGGTGACACATCACACCCACCAGCTGGGTCCGCACGTCTTCAGGCTGCGGACACCCAATTCATCGCCTTGGACCCGGCCTTTTGGAAGGTCCCTGTCCTCGCCGAACCCACATCTCCTGACGACGGCAAGACGTACAAGCCCAGTATCAGCCTCCACGACTACGAGAGCGGTGAACGGCTGCTGCAACACCACCTCGAGCAGGGTAAGCGAACCACGGGTCAGCTCGCGATTGCTGTCATGGGCCCAAAAAACGACAACTACGTCGGTACCGAGCTCGCCGTCCCCGTGCTGAAGCGTCACCCCAAGGCGCCCAAAGTGGTCCACACGCACGTCCCCGTGACCGTGTACCAGCTGGGCACCAAGGAAGTCGCCTGCACGGAAAAAGTAGCCGTCGCCACCATCGACCCTGCCGACCACGTATGCTGGATTCGGGCGACCATACATGAAACCGAGGCCATTGCCGCAGTCCCCTCCATGCATCAGGCCTTCGAGGACCAGTTCTCGGGAGGTGCCCCCGTGAACGGTGGTCCACGCGCCAAGGGTCCTTTCCGAGGGGACTCCGCTCCACAGGACAAGGCGCGCCAAAACCAAAAGCACAGGGAGTCCAAGAAAGACGCTCGCCGCCAGGAGCTCGATAGTCAGCTCCAGGACACCTTCAAGGCCCTCTTCCACGGCAACTTTAAAGCCGTCACCATCCTCGAACCCTGCAAAAGCCTAGGCAGGTTTGGATCGGGCGTCGGAAAGAGGTCCCTGGCTGCCACCTTCGGCGTCAGTCTTCAAGCGGTCGACAAGGTCTTGGCGGGATCAGGGCAACTCGGTGCCACCTACGACCTCAG